TTCATTCTGTTGGGTTTCATGGGGTTGTGACCCTCATTGTCTTTTCCTAAGATATTGTTTAAAAGTTTTTGGAGTGCTGGTTTGGTATTCATGAAGTTCCTCAGGTGTTCTTTGTCTTTAAAGTAACTCATTTCTTCATCAATTTTGAAAGATAGTTTTGCAGGGTACATCAGTCTGTGTTGGAGGTTGTTTTCCTTTAGGGCTTGAAATATTTAACTTCAGTCTCTTCTTGCCTTGAGGGTTTGTATTGAGAAGTCTGCTGTGATTCTGATGAGCTTTCCTTTGTATGTGATTTATTTCTTTTCTCTAATTGCTTGTAGAATTTTGTTCTTCTGTTGGGTTTCTGGAATCTTGACTATTATATTCCTAGGTGCAGATTTTTTTTGATCACGGCTAGTTGAATGCCTATATGCCTCAATTATCTGTATGTCAACTTCTGTTCCCCTGCTTGGAAAGTTTTCTGCCATTACTTCTGTGAATGGTTTTTTTATTAATGTCATTTGCTCTGTCTCCTCTTTCTTCATTGACTCTGATCAGTCTTATTTTTTTGCATCATCTAGTAGCTGTTGGATTGGTTTCTCATGGTCCCTTGCTATTTTTTAGACATCTTTCTTTTCCTGGACAGTAATCACAATCCTACTTCTGTATCTGATATTCTTCCTCACATTGGCTCATTCTGCTGTGTAAACTTTCAGTGGAGTTTTTAATCTCCTGGATAGCTGTTTGCATCAGTTTTATGGATTCCATTGGTTTCCTTTGTTGGATTTCCATCATGTTCCTCAGCTCCTCTATTTATTTTATCTGTGTCTTCTCTAGATTTATTAATCATGTCTTGCACTATGGACACAGTCTCTGTTGTTAACTGAGAAATTATTTCTGATTTTATTTTTTCCAGATCCTCTTTCATTGATAGTTAAGAAAGTCCAGGTTGTTGAATTTCAGATTGTTCCATCTTGTTTCCCCTTGGGGTTGAATTTCGTGATCTGGAAGTCTGCTTTTGTGATTTGTTTAGGTGTCTTCTCATTACAACAAATGCAATCTGCTGCTTAGCACCTGTTATTTGATTTTCAAACCAAATAATAATCCTTTAGAGCTTCATGTGAAAGGAAGATGTCGTGCGAACAGTAGAAGCATGGATCGTTCACTGATTCGGCATTCAGTTCTGATGTCATCTTATGAATGAAATGAGAATACCAAGCAAAAGAGTTTTAGAAAACTTGCCTTTTGAAATCACCATTGGAAGAATAACTTTTTGGTTTCTTTAGAAGACAATGAGAAATTTTCAATTTGTAATGTGGTCAGTTCAAGAGTCCCTGAAATGTCCCAAATTAAAGCTTCATCCTGCAGCAATAACTCCAGTTGTACGAACCTCCTTCTTCCAGTAGGAAGATATCACTATGTTTTAAGAATACTTTACTGTCTTAAACCATGTAGAAGACAAAAAGTGTAGTGGCAGATTATAACTATTGGCTTTTTTAATTGCCCAGATATTTATCTTTATTACCATCTTCATTTCTGGTATACACCTTTTTGTTACTGTGTAATGTCATTTCATTTCAATCTTTCGAAATGCCTCCAGTGTTTCTTGCCGAGCAGGCATAGTGGTAATGAACTGCCTTAGTTTTTCTTTATTTGGAAATGTCTTACTATCTTCCTCACTTTTGAAGGATGGTTTTGTAAGATAAAAGATTCTTGGCTGACAGGGTTTTTTTGTTGTTTCTTCTAGTTCTTCGAAGTAGCCCACTGTCTTCTGGCCTCTAAATTTTCTAATGATAAATGTGTGAATAATTTGAGAATTCCTGTATGTGGTCAGTTTTGCTTTTCCCTTGCTGCTTTTAAGATTTTATCTTTTCAGCAACTGTTTTTTTTTTTGTTTCCGGGGATTGAACTTGGGACCTTGTGCTTGTGAGGGAGGCAGTGGAACCATTGCAATAAATCCCCGGCTTCAGCAGTTGGATGATAGTATGTATCATTATGATTTGCTTTGATTTCCTCTTGGAATTTGTTGAGTTTCTCAGATGTTTATATTTAGAAAAATACAAAAGTTAATTTGGGAAGTTTTCAACCATTACTTCTTCAATTATTGTATTTGCTCTTTTCTCTCTCTTCTCTTCTAAAGTGCATTATGTTGGTTTTACCCTATGCGTCCTGTAAGTTTTATTAATTCTTCATTCTTTTTTTTTTTTGTTCTTCAGACTTGATAATGTCCATTGTCCTATTTTCAGGTTCACTATTTTTTTTTCTTTTGCCTGATCAAATCTGTTTTTGAATCCCTCTAGTGAATCTTTCATTCCAGCGATTATACTTTTCAGCTGTAGAATTTCCTTTTGGTTTCTTTTTTAGATTTTCTACCTCTCTGTTGATGTTACCATTTTGTTCGTTGATCATTTTCTTTACTTTCTCCTCTGTTTTTTTGTTTTTCACTGAGCAGCTTTAGGATAGTTATTTTATAGTCTTTGTTGAAAACATCTGTTATCAGGTCTTTTTAAGGAACACTTTCTATTGATATATTTTTTCCTTTGAATGGGTCATATTTTCTTCTTTCTTTGTATGTCTTAGATTTCTTGTTGAAAACTGAGCGTTTGAATCTAATAATTTTATGACTCTGAAAATTAGAGTTTCTTTCTTTTCCAGGGTTTGCTGGTCATAGTTATTGTTGCTGTACGTTATATCTGTCCCAAAGATAAGCTGAGTCTAAATTTAATATCTTTTCAGATTTTTTTGTGTATGCACCTTTTCTTGGCGATAGTCACTTTCTAATTTTTCCTGTACTTGTAATTGTTTTTGGAATGTTAAAATGTCTTGCTCCAAAAAGATGAAAAAGAGAAAAAATGAAGAGGTAGAAGGAAGGTGTTATCCCACAGTATCCCCTAGAAGTTACTTCAGCAAGAACAAAAGGGTCTTGAACAGTTGGGCTTTGGCAGTGGCAGCTTGCCTCTTCATCTGCCCCTCTGTGATTAGAGGAAGCAATCAGTCATCAGAGCACAGACCCTAAATATTTGGAAGATAGAGTTCTTATTTGCCTATCCTATTTCCTGCTGTTGGTGTGCAAGTTGGTCTAGGAATACATACATAGCTGTCTGCAAAGGATCTGGAGTTGTGGTGGTTAGGCAGGTACTGCTGTGCTAAGAGCTAAAATTTACTGCAGTTAACCATCTAAGCCTTCCCATGGAAGTTACAGTCCTTCAGTAGCCTCTAGAGCTCTAAAATGTAATCATGTGTCACTTAATGGTGGTGGTACATTCTCTAGAGCTCTAACATGTAATCATGTGTCACTTAATGGTGGTAGTACATTCTGGTGTTAGGTGATTTTGTCCTTGTGCAAAATCGGAGTAGGTTTACATAAACTAAGATGGATGTGATGTCACCAGGCAATATAATTTTATGAAACCAAAATAATTTATGTGGACTGTTGGTGACTATAATATCATTTTGTGGCACATGACAGTAGGTACATCATACAGATTATGTCAGTGCAATTGTTGCCTAGGTGGGGAGAGAAATTCCTGGGGCTTCCTACTCTTCCATCTTATCAGAATCCTCTTTAATTAAATTTTATGAGTTGAGAGTTGTGCCCCCCCACTCCAGGACTGAGAACAGCCTAGGTTTTAAAGCCTTTATGCAGTGGTCTTTCCTCCATATATTGGTCTATTTTCAGTGTTCCCTAAGAGTTCAATACAATGATTGCAGTGGTAAAAAAGATCTTATAGTGGTCTATATATTCCAGTTTGGCTTAAATCTACTAAGGAAGACCACATTCATTCATTGAGACTATCACATGTTATGAAAAACTTCCATTTGTTTTGATGGATAAAGGACAGGGGATGATGAGAACTTTTAGCCATTAGCCTTATCCAGCCATTTGTAAAGTGATATATTTTTAGACCAGAGATTTGTAACCTATCATTCTATTGCCAGTTGTGAAACCTCTAAATTCATATTAAAGGTTTTGGGTGAATATACATATATATGGATATAATTTAGATATATATACATATATATACTGAATATACTAATGCATGTGTGTGTGTGTGTGTGTGTGTGTGTGTATGTCCTGTGGCTTCAATAAATACAGAAGTCTCAGATCACCAGCTAATCCCTCTCTCCAGCTAACCACAGGGGTTAAGAACCAGTGTTTTAGGCGAATTTTTCTTTTAAAAACGAAATGGTTTTAATGATGGCTGTAGTCTAAAGATCTAGAAAGGCTTTTGACATACAACATTACTTCTCAGAAAATTTCCATCAAGTTTTAGTGAGGTCTGCCACTGATAGATAATGATGTAACAAACATATGTTTTAAAGAAAAATAGGAGGTTGTTCTTTTGTATTTATGAAAAATGTCTTCATTACTTATTTTTATCAAAGTCTCATCTCACTTGTACATATATATATTTGTTTGTTTGTTTTGTTTTGTTTTTCGTTTTTTTGTTTTCAGTACTGGGGATTGAACTCAGAACCTTGTGGTTACCAGGCAGATGCAGAACCACTAAACTACATACCCAGCCCAAGTTGTACATATTATTTTGCCTTTTTCTTCAATTTGTTGTTTCATTTCTTATAATTTTAACTTCATTACTCTGCCCTACATATGTTTATTATATCTTTTACTCTAGCTGCTTATGACTTCTAACTAATGAATAGAAACTTGAGGCTGGGTCTGGTTCTTTAGAATTCCCCTGGAGCACCAGGTTTAGCATTTTATAAATAATGAGTGATTAATGAATATCAATAGACTTGTATTAGAAGTAGTCTGTCCAAAAATTCCTGTGGAGATTTGCATACTCAATTTTAATTTCTCTACTTCTTATTAATAACTAATGGATATGATTTCAGGAATATAAATATTATTTTGTGACTCTTGTGTAGTTACTATGCAGATTAATTTAGTCGAAAAAAACCCCACTGATTCCTTTATGTAATCAAAGGGGATACCATTCATTAGACTGCTGTATTTTTGAATTTCATCATGGACCTCTATCTTCTTATTATTTGTTTTGCAGTGAGGGACATAAACTTGCAGGACATCAAGGAGGACTTGGAATTGGACCCAGAGGAGAACAGCACCCTTTTCATGGGTATCCTTATTAAGGGGCTGGCTAAACTGAAGAAGATTCCAGAGACAGTTAAGGCAATCAAGGAGCGCTTGGAGCAGGAGCTAAAGCAAATTGTGAAGAGATCTACCACACAGGTGGCAGACAGTGGCTATCAGCGGGTAGAGAACCTCACTGTGGAGAACCAACCAAGGTAGATGGGGGTGCAGTTTGTTTTTTGATGACTATTTTCCTGGCTGAAACATGAGTAATTTATCTTCTCTTCATACTGTTTTCTTGAACTTGGCCTATTATAGCTCATACAAACTCATATAAGTACAAACAGCTTGACTCAGCATAATTCAGTTGTCTTGGTTTTTTATTTTGCTCAGAAATTTGAAAGCATAATGTCCTTAGTCACATATGTTGAATGAAAGATACAGACATGTCTATAAAAAGATATATTCAAATATATTGAGTGAACAAGTAAATTGAATGTAATAGTTATTGAACATGTATTGGATATACTATGTAGTTTCCCAGGCTCCATGTATATATAGTCTCATTTAATTCTCATTACAACTCTGCAAGCTAGTTATTAGAATCCATAGTTTATATTAGGCAAACTGAGGCTCAGATTAAGTAATTAAGGAGCGTAACACTAATTTTGTCATAAAAGGACATAAACACCCATGTTTATTCTTCAGAATGTTTCTGTTGCTGAATTATCAATTTTAATTTTATGAGTTTTATTATATTGAACAATGAGTCCTTAACAGGGAAAAATCGCAAATTAAAGTATTGAATTTTTAATATTTATGGAGTGTTTATAAAAAAGCATCAAAATTTTCAACATTAACTGTTTTTTGGTGTACAGAGTCTAAAAAAGAACAACAAAAATAAATTCCTATATGAACTACAATGAAAATACCAATAGCACTCTACCAAAAAAAAAATCTTTATCACATCTAAGGCTGTCTTCACACATGACAGTAACATGTTCCATACACACATATTGCTTAAACTGACAGCGAGTGCATTTTGCTTTCCTGCACTTTTTGTGGGACATACTTGACATCTCGCTGTTCTTGCTGTTTTGGCAGGAGGTTCTTATTATATTATAATGTGTAGTTAACAGGAACGTAAAACATCACTAAAATAAAGTATTAAATTATTAGTATGTATTGTGCATTTAGAATAAACATCAACATTTTCACATCAGATATGTACTTGTTTGCAAAACCTAAGAAATAACATGAGAAATAAAAACTTATGTGAACTACAGTGAAAATATCAATAGAACTCTGCAACAAAAATAATCTTTTTTTTTTGTATTAAATTTTTTTATTGGTACATTGTAGGTATACAACACAATTACATTCCTCATTGGGAATTGTACCTTTACATAATGCATCTTGGTTCTTATTTTTTTCCCCATTCCTAGCCCTCCCTTCACGCCCTCCCCCCTTCCCTATTTACAAAGCCTTTATTTCCATTTTTTCCATTTCTCAGCATTTTTCCTTTCCCTTCTTTCCATTCCCCTGCCCCTCC